TGAGCTGGTTTTAACTACAAGCAAAACCAAGTACCTAAGCATCTGTGTATATTGTCAAATATATATGAGAGATGGCAACGTAGATGTTAAGCGTGTGTGAACTCCTTTCCTACCCTCCGCCCATGTTCATGCTCCGCCCTTGTTAAGCTCCTGACATCTCTTGACTCTGCCTGTACTGGTCACCCATCTCATGTTCCTGGGCCCTCATGCATGTGTCTGTCAAGAGGTATAGCCTGTCTTCAGGTCTTCCACCCTATTGGGACAGAGCTGGGAATGAACAGGGAGCAAGCTAAGACAAACCAGAATAGCTCCAGACTCTGTAGTTGGCAGAGGCCCACATGGCTACGTGGTGCCCGTGTATGGTAACTGTGTGGTAGTCTTGACCAGATCAAGCCTGGAGGAGGAGCAGGTCTCAGTGTTGTGACCCCTATGGGACCTAAGGGACTTCAGGGAAGTCCTGCTTCCCTCACTTCCTGTTCCTGTCTTCACGTGAGGACAGAGAGAAAAGCTACCATGGTCAGTGTCCCTCCCCACGGGAATAGGAAGCAGGAGCTCTGCTCTAGACCATCCCAAGCTCTAAAGCTAGTGTCTAGATCAAACCTGAGGCCTTGTGGCTTCATGCCCTGCTCAGGCAGCTGCTAAAGGTTCATCAAGGTCCCATTTCCCTGTTCTGGGCATGTGTGAGACTCACCCAGTCTTCTTAGCCATGAGCATGCTGCCGACCTGGACTTGGGGTCTTTCAGAGCCGGCTTCACACACACACACACACACACACACACACACACACACACACACACACACACACACACAAACTGTGCTGCTTTTAAAAAATGTATTTTTATGTTTTACTGGACAACTTTTGGAATCCTGTTCTTGTCTTCCACCCTGTGGAGTGGGTCATTCTTGTTTCCACCACCCTGCATATTCTGGGCCAGCTGGCCCGTGGGCTTCTGGGTAATTCTTACGTCTGCCCCTCCTGACTTTCCAAAGGAATGCGAAGATTACTGATGCATGCCACCGCCTCGGCTTTTGTGGGTTCCAGGGACCAGACTCACGTGTCGGGCTTGTAGTGTAAGCATTTTTTTGCCCACTGAGCCACGTCCCTGGCCCCTCTGCTTCTGCTTCTTTTTATTTATCTATTGTTATCATCATCATCATCATCATCATCATCATCATCATCTTAGCAGTTTGTCTCTGTTGTTGGCTGAGCCAGTAGAGAACAACGTGGTGGCTTATGCCCATTGCCCAACACAGCTGAGGAGCCCAGTTACGTGAAGGGCTCAGGTCTGTGTTCATGACGTGCCGTGAAGGGCGAGGGTTGGGGCTTCGCTGACTTAAGTGATGCGCAGTCGGCGCTCTGTATCAGTGGGTTTACCGTCTGCACAGCCAACCAACCTCAAGTCAAAATTCTTTAGAGTAGGTGCTGGAGAGACGCCCCCTGTGGAAGAACACTTGTTGCTCTTGCAGGGGACCCGGGTGTGGTTCCCGGCACCCACGCGGTGGCTCACGGCCGTCTGTAACTCTAGTTCCAGGGGATCCGGTGCCCTCTCCTGATCTCCGTGGTTGCTGTACACGTGTGGTGCACATACACACATGCAGACAAAGCAGTCATACACATCAAGTAAGCCTAAAAACAACATTGAAAAGACATTTTGGGAATTTCTAAAAGAAAACCCCAATTTGAATTTTCTCATCTTAAAAACTCACCTCAAATGAAGTGAGACACCCGCCGCAGCGTCTCTTCAAGGCCCTCCATCTCCCTGAGCCTTGGGCCTTTGTTCATGTGCCTCCTAGCCTCCTGAGGTTCTATCCGGTAGTGGGCACGTGCAGACTTTTCTCCTTGTTACTCCCTGAGCAATGTCGTTTGACATCTATCATCCTGGCGTTCCTACTGTCCTGGAATTAGAAGTCATCTAAAGCAGTATAGGACATACCCAGGTACCCTCAGATCCCCCATCTCCAGGTCCCTGGAACCCAGCCCCCAGACAGGGAGAAACATCTGTACCACTGTCTGCCGCCGCCTCTGCCCGTCAGGTTCCCACCTCAGCACATCCCACACCTCCTCCAGCTGACAGTGACATCTCTTGGTGCCAGAGCCCAGGTCAACACCTGGTCTCCCTGCTCTGAGTACCGCTTCCCAGGAGTCTGCCGGCCCCTTGGTTCCCCGGTAGGATCCTGTGGCCTCCAGCTCCGGGGGCTTTGCCTCTGTTGGTGGTTACAAGGAGTTCCCTGCAGGCTGTTTTATAAACTGGGCCCTAGCAGATATGGGTGGCGACGTGTTCCTCCAGTGTGGAATGTGTGAATGTGTGTGTGACATACGGATGTGGTCCCTCCCTGGACCAGCTGGCCTGGCTAAGCCAGCCAGATCCAAGCAGAAGGGAAGCTTTCTGATTCCTGGTAAATGCTCTCCTCCCATCCCCCACCCCCTGAATGCAGACTTGGGGGCATTGGGTGGTCCCTCACTCACAGGAGGCAGTTGTGGTTTCTGCCATTTATTTTAATTTTTTTTAGGTGGTTAAGCCCAGAGGGTGGTACCCACATTTTATATATGATTGGGTACTAAAGCAAGATGTCTGTGCCAGGGACTCCATCATCGATGTTTAGTTCTGTGTCTAATGCTAGCTGCACAAGAAATCCTTTGCGGGGCATTTATCCCATGGCCTGCGGGTCCTTGTCGTCGTCGGAAGAGTTGTGTTGCCTATACTGTTTGCTCTGAGTGTCCTGTGCACAGGAAACATCAGTCTGGCTGCCCAGATTTTGCCCTCTTACCATGGCTTGAGGCCCTGGAGTCAGGACTAAGCTAGGAGGCGCAGATAGTGAGCGTGCTTGCCTCACTGATCAGGGACGACGTAAAACTAGCAAGGCTCACCACGTGAAGGTCAAGCTGCCCATATTCCAGCTCTGCCTTCAGCACCTCAGTCTCATGTGGCTTCATGCCAGGGAATCCTTGCTGTCTAACGCGGAGATCCCTTTGGATTCGAACTTAAGCTAGTGCCCTCTAAGGGCAGACCAGACCCTTCTGCCAGGAGCCACACCTCCCGGGCATCGATTTCTGACTACCCATTGTCTGCACAGGCCACTGAAGTGAGGAGCGCTAAGTGCCGTTGACTCATTCACTGTGTTGTTTTCAATGAAGAAATTAATTTGTTCTTTCAAACCCTTGTGCACGATGTGCCCTGCCAGTACTGTTTCGTGAAATATTTAAAAATCTGACTTGTGGGCCAGGACGCGGTAGTGGCAGGAATCTGGCCTGGAAGCTCATTTAAAGGGTGGACGCTGAGTTTGGCACTTGGGATGAGGTGCTGACATTTCCCGCTCTGAAGGAGCTCCTGGCCACACAGCCCTCCCTTCGGCAAACCCGTTACCATGTCGTCAAGGTGGCATGGCTGTGCCCGGCACAGTGGTACTTAGTGAATTCAGGAGAAGGTGTGGCTTGAGTATTCGTATGCCTGGCGATTAGTGGCACCTGCCTTTGATCCCAATACTCTGGTGGCAGAGGCAGGTGGATCTCTGAGTTTGAGGCCAGTCTGGTCTACAGAGTGAGTTCCAGGACAGCCAGAGTTATGCAGAGAAACCCTGTCTTGAAAAAAGAAAAGCCAGAAGACTTACATCTGGAGGTCACACGTGATCTCAGTGTTGGCGTTGACTGAAGGTTTTCACCGAAAGGGTCCCATTTGGTCCTTTTTATAACCCTGTGAGGTCCCTCTGGTTCCATGGATAAAAACTGACTCTCCCATTTGAACCTGGGTTTTGGCTTCCTGGCCCCCACGTATCTGGTGACACTACCTCACAGCTGGTGTGAAGAAGGCCGTGGTGGAATGAGCTCCCACAGGAGAGCAGTTGAGAATGGAGACTCACCGTGGACCGTGTTCCTGCTTCTCGGAGAGCCTGTGGTGACTCAGTCCATTTTCCGCAGGATCCCTTGCAGGTCGTCTGGGCTGTGCCCCCTGGGGCTTTCGGGTTTTGTGCCTTTTCATTAAAAGCAAACCACTTTGCCGCTCTATTTCTCAGTCACCATTAAATAAATCATCAGATTGTGAGTAACGGCCAGCCGTGGAGGGTATTAATAATTGAGTACCCTAAAATAGACTTCTGTTTTTGCAGCTTGCCAAGAACATCGGGAATGCAGGCTTTAATGAGATCATGGAGTGTTGCCTCCCACCCGAGGACTCGGTCAAACCCCACCCAGGCAGCGACATGTGAGTATGAAGCCGGCCGGCTGGTCGCATGTGCTGAAAAAGATTTGCGCTTGGCCTGAGCCCTGTACGCAGGGGAACGGGTCTGAGGGGTACGTCGGTCGTTGCTTCCCGCTAGCTCAAGTTGTTATTCGTTTTCATTTTGATTTTTCCTTCTCTTCGGTCATTTTTGTGTGTCCAGATGGAAGCCCGGTGTGGCTGGTTTTGGTGGGAAGGGACCAGAGGACAGGGGGCTTTTTAGCAACTGCACTGCCCGCGAGGAGGGCACTGCCGTGAGTCTTGCTCGCTGCTGCCCTGGACCTCTGCGCCCCTTGCCTCCGCCCCTTCTCTCTGCCCACCTTCCCGGCGTGGTGAATTGTGCCGGGTGACCATGCACCTGTCGTCGTCATCGGGGTCCTTGGAGGTGTAGGACCTCTCGTCCCCTCCAGAAAACCCTTGTGTGTGTTTTACTGGGGACGCAAACTGACCTGGAAGCTGGTGTGCCTCGCTCTGTTCCAGCTGACCCATTGATGGACCAACCATTCACAATAGGGATTGCCCACCAGTTTTATTCCAACACACTGGGCTCGAGGAGGTGGACAGGGCAGTGCCATGCTGCCCCTCAGACCTCATCCCTGTTTCCTTTTTTGTTTGTTTGTTTGTTTGTTTGTTTGTTTTTGAGACAGGGTTTCTCTGTATACCCCTGGCTGTCCTGGAACTCACCCTGTAGACCAGGCTGGCCTCCAACTCACAGAGATCCGCCTGCCTCTGCCTCCCGAGTGCTGGGATTAAAGGTGTGCGCCACTACCACCCGGCCCCTGTTTCTTAAAATGGCCTGTTTGCCCACAGGAGGGCCTGCTAGAGTATGATGCAGATGGAGGAGGAGGACTAGGTCTCCCAGACAGTACCCGTGTGTGAGCACAGGGAGAGTGAAGATCGGGGCTCAGAGAAAGTTCTCAATCTATACCACAAACTACATTTCACCGGCTTAGGCCTGAAATTGAGTTAGTGGTCTGGGTTCCCTAAAGGACATCGAGTGACAGTACCGTGTCTTTAAGAGCAGTTTTACAGGCGTTCAGAGTGTACAGGGTGTGTCTAAGGCAGAACACTTAGATCTTTGTAGCTGTTTGGGAAACTGAGGCTGCGGAAGTGTAGGACTGTGTTGTTGTCTTGCACTCGGACCCACTGAGGGCATGGGAACAATGTAGAGGGTGAGGAGGAGATTGTCAGTCGTTGGCTGTCTTGGGCGCCAGGTATCTTGCGGGTGGGTGTTAGGTTGCGGTCGGTTTATGTTTGCATCCTGTCGTGAGTGAGCATTTGTGACGGAGCGTCTCACAGAGATCGGATGACGTGGTTGTCAGGCATTGTCTTCTGCTTATGAAGATGTTATTTGGAGAGCTGACCTGGAGAGCCTGGTCTCCCCGTCCTTTTCCAGGCCGCGGGGTGGGGCAGGGTTTTTACGGTCTGAGTCTAAGCCTCGGTTTCTCTAATAACAAGGGAGAGTCTGCTGCCCACCTCAGAGAGGCGCGGAGGAAGTTAGAAAGATGGTTTGCACTCAGCCGGGGCGTGAATGTTGTTGGCGACAGAGTCTAAGCAAGTGCCCTGGCCGACCCCGTCTGTCGAGAAACGAGCATCCCGTGCGGTTACTCTTTTCTTGGGACCTGCGGGTGCACGGTGCCTTCCTGGATGACTGGAGGGCCCCTTTTAGTGGAGGAAATGTCGTGGGCCAGCATGGTGAGTGTAGAGACGGCTGTGGCTTGATGCTGGCTTCCTGGTGGTTACCAGTCTCCTGGAATGCCGGTCAACTTTAAACCAAGAGTATAGGAACGCACTTTTGCGTACCAGGAATAGGGGCTGAAGAGATGGCGCGGCTGTTCAGAGCACTTGATGCTCTTGCAGAGGATCCGGGTTTGGGTCCCAGCACATCCATGGTGGCTTCAGCGATTCAAAACCCGAGTTCCGAGGATCTAATGCCCTCCTCTGGCCTCTGCAGTCACTAAGAAGTGTATATGGTACACATACATACATGCAGACAAAATGTTCATACACATAAAATTAAATAAATTAAAAAAAAACTGCCAGGATTTCCTCATGAAAGCAAGACATCTGTTCTAGGGGTAAATGATCCTAAGAATGAATACTGCTTTTCAGTATCCATGCTCAGTCTGCTGTGAGGCATGACACACACACACACACACACACACACACACACACACACACACACACGCACGCACGCATACACACACACATACACACCCACGCACGCGTGCACACACGCACACACACGCACACACACCCTTGACCCTTCTCACAAGGAAATTTATACTTCATTTTCTCAGAAATGAGGGTGGATGTCTGTTACAGTGATGGAAACACACTCCCAGTCATCATTCTGTGGTTGGGATAAACTGCATGACCAGCCATGGTGGTACGTGACTGTGATCCCCTGCAATGGCGAGGTTGAGGCAGGAGGGGTATGCCTTTGAGGCTAGCCTGGCCTATACAGTGAGCTCTAGGCTAACCTGGGCTACCTAGTGAGTTCAAGGTTAGCATGGGCAGCATAGTGAGACCCTTAATCAGACTCGCCCCACCCAAATAAAAGAAGAGAATTAACTGCGTGACTCTTGGCATGCCTCCGGCAGCTGGCTCTTTCTTGTAGCATTCCGTCACACTTTACAGTAAATGTACTCTGGGCTTTCACATACCGTCCTGAGAAAGTATGTTTCACTCATTTTTGTGTTTGCCACCACGGTATGTTTCTTGTTGTGGTTGGGTAAATATTTAATGGCCCAATAAATCAAGGAAATGGCCGCTGCTCCACGCCAGCTTCATTCAGCAAAGACTTTATTTCTAGATTTGACAGAGTGGGCTGCTTGTAGCTTGATGTGAGCACACACCGTCTCCAGCCTTACTCGGAAGGGGAAACCCAAGGCACCCGCTAGTGGCCTGTGAACCCCCAGTTGGGAGTGTAGGCAGAAAGCATGTGTGACTGGGCCACCCAGAGGCCAGATGGCATCTGCTCATAGAAGGCAAGCTGTTTCCGAATCCTCCCCGCCCAGAAGCAGCAGGAAGTCCCGCCCCCACTTTACACCCCCACCCCCAACCCCACCAGATGGATAGGTCTGTGGTGTTCTGTTGCTGTCCACCACATATCTCGGTCTGTACATTTAAAAAAAAAAAGCCGAGAACATGCTAACGGCACACAGTCTATCTCCATGCAACCAGGGGTCACAGAGGGTTACAGAGATCTGTCCCGTGTTTGGGCTGGAACCACCTTCAGGGGACTCCGAGCCCTAGGCAGATAAATATACACTTAAAAAACAAAAACTAGAGAGTCAGATAGGGTGGGGGCACACTTGTGATCCCAGCACTCTAGAAACTGAAGCAGGAGGACCCCGAGTCTGAGGCCAACTTGGGTTATATAGTGAGACTCTTTTAAAAAAAAGCCCAGAGCTTGGGGCTGGAGAGATGGCTCAGCTGTTAAGAGTGCACACTGCTTGCCAGGCGGTGGTGGTGGTGGTGGTGGTGGTGGCGCACACCTTTAGTCCCAGCACTCCGGAGGCAGGGGCTGGTGGATCTCTGTGAGTTCGAGGCCCGCCTGGGCTACAGAGTGAGTTCCGGGACAGAGTACGTACTGCACTTGCAGAGGACTGAGTTGAGGTCTCAGCACCCTTGTGGTGGCTCCCAGTCCGTACCTTTAGTTCCAAGGCTTCTAAAGCCCTCGTCCAACCTGTAGGAAGCAGGCATGCATTTGGTGCACATCCGTCCATGCGGGCCAAACACCCATACACATAAAATAAGATAGGTCTTAAAACCAAGAGCTGGGGGCTGGAGAGATGGCTCAGCAGTTAAGAGCACTGGCTCTTCTTCCTGAGGTCCTGAGTTCAATTCCCATGTGAGCATGTCGGCTCACAACCATCTATAGTGAGATCTGGTGCCCTTTTCTGGCCTGAAGACAAAACATTGTATACATAATAAATAAAAATTAAAAAAAAAAACAAAAACAAAAAAAACCAAAAAACCCAGGAGCTAAGAATATGGTTCCAGTGGCAGAGAGCCTGTGCCTAACATGCACATGGCCCCAGGTTCAGTCCCCACCCCTAAAAAAGTAGATACTTTTTTAGGCATTCAGCTGTTCCTACTGCACCCTTGTCCTTTAGGGGTTCTAGAGACTGTCCCTCATTGGTTACTGAATGCACATAGGACTTGAGCTGTCCATCACAGGAGCCTGTGGAGTTTAAGACACGGGATAAGCTCCCCATGAAGGCTCCCCCACCTTGGTTTGGTAATTCCTGAAAGCCCCACACTGGAGAAGACCACCAGCTCTAAACTGGCCCGGCCGGCCGGGGCCCTGGCCAGTGGTCTCAGGAAGCTGCCCGTCTTTCCTCCGCAGCTTCAGAGTGCTTATCTGCACTGTGGGCATCCGGTGAGTCAGCCTGTCTCCATGATGTGTAGGACCTGGTGGACAGGTTGCTGGAGTGCGACCAGGCTGGAGCCTCAGGATAGAGCCTGGAGCATTCATTCTGCGGACTGGGGCCGCACGCGAGAGTCCTGTAGAGTGACTGATTTAGTGTGACCTGTATGACACTCCTGCTGTGGTGACCTGTCATGGAGGTCCCGGGGACCTCCCATCCTGGGCTGAGCAACCGTCTCTGGGGTCCGGCCGCCTGGCAGGCTTCACATCTGTGTGTTCTGTTCCCAGAGAGCTCAGGCAGGTTGTCTAACAGAGACTGAAGGCAAGTTTAGGAAGTCTGCGACCACTACCGCTGTAGCCACAGCACCCCCCCTCCCCCCGTGTATCCTCGTCCCCGTCCCCGTCCCCCCCACACAGCGTAGCTCAACGACAGGGAGAGGATGTGTGGGAATGGAGCCTAGCATGTGCAGGTACAATCCCGATTGGTGAAGTGTAAGGCCTGTGTGTTGTGTTCTGTCCGTCCGTCCGTCCGTCTGTGTCCTTGTGGAGATGAGAGGTCACAGGGCGGTGGCTCTCGGCTTAGTTAACTCACCCACCTCCCGGTGCTGGCTTCTAGGAATCACCTTGTCTGCGTCTTGCCATGCAGGTGTCGCACGACCCAGGCTTAGAGAAATGTTGTCTGCAGGCAACCGTGGGGTGACAGCTGCCTCCCTCCCTCCCTCTCTCACTGGGAAGGAGAGGATGTCGGGGCTGTTTCAGAATGCCCGGTGGACCCACGCACTCCTGAACCCCAGTGTCTGTCGGCTAGGACCCCTGCATTTGAGGGTTTGGTACTGAATATCGTCATTCAGTTCACACTCCCGGCCACTGATGAGTAGGTGATTTTTAGGCACGCATGAAGACTACAAAAGACGGGGTGTAGATGTGGCTGTAAGTAGGAAGGCACTCGGGCAAGAACCAGGGTGGCCAGCCTGCCTGAGGAGGTGGCTCAGGACAGCTGGAGGAGGAACGTGGATAACAACAGAGGAAGACATGCGCGTGTCGGGAGAGGGATGGATATAAGCAAGCTAGGCAAATCCACGGTTAGGTGTGGGGACCGCAGCGTGCTGAGAGAGAGCTCAGGGTTACAGCAGGGACAGCAGCAGGTGGCTGGGAGAATGCAAAGAACCCAGGCACCTGGCTTCTGTCTCAACTACTGGGTGAAGCCCAGGACTGCCGCGTGGGCTTCAGTACCTCTGATGCTAGAAGCTAGACACGCCTGTGCTTAAGGACGGAGCCCACGGGGCCCCGAGAGGGCCGGGCAGCGTGGTAGACGATGGACTAGACGGATCGACAGAGGCCTTACAGGGTGTGTCACCCATCAGTTATGTCTGGTTTCAGGATCGCAAGGAAGGACTACATCACGGCCAAGTACATCGAGAGGAGATACGCAAGGAAAAAGCACGCAGACGTCTCGGCGAAGCTCCACAGCCTCTGCGAGGCCGTCAAGACCAGAGACATTTTTGGGTTACTCCAAGCTTATGCTGATGGTGTGGACCTGACAGAAAAAATCCCACTGGCTAACGGGCATGTAAGAGGGGCCGCGCAAGGATGGAAAGTGAGGGGTGGACACAAGGGAGGTGTGTTCAGCCATGGTGTTCTCCACATTGCCCTCCCTCCCTGGAGAGAAATGGGTGGCACGTTTTCTTTTCGTTGGTAAATAAACGTAGAGGTTGAACGGACTTTATCCTGATTGCTGGGGCCAGAAGTTGTTTTTTAACTTGGGGCGTTTTTTAGCTGTTGAAGTACTTGAGACCTAATGAGATCTTAGAGGTGGGATGCAGGCGGCTTGAGACCCAATGAGATCTTAGAGGTGGGATGCAGGCGGCTTGTGTCTCTCGGATGCCGCACACACGGACGTGGTTTTGGGCAATGCCACCAGGGCTCCTCCGTTCTCACTGTAAGCCGTCAGCTGAATGCAGGGGTGGATTTTTCCACTCATCCTGAAACGTTTAGGGTCGTGTTGCATTTTGGATTTATGACTTGTGTTCAGGATGCCCGGCCCGTTCGTGTGCCACATGATGATGTGCAGACGTGGCATTTTGATAGATATCCACGTCGTGGAATGACCACAAGACAGGTCATCTCGTCTACTTATCTTTTGTCGTGGAGACAGTTCAGATCCACCCAGCAATTTTGAATATTTGATTCAAATACATTGTTAACTATAACCACTCCTATACAACAGCATCCCCCCCTTTTTAAAGAAGAGTCTCACACTGCCAGCAATCCTCCTGCCTCAGCTTCCTGGGTATTGAGATTACATTTGTGTACCACCGTACCTAGGTTGACTCTTTTCAAATTGAGCCTTTGTATGTCTTTTTTTTTAAAAAAGGATTAGTTTAATTTTACGTGTATATATCTGCATGTATATATGTACACCTCATGCATGTAGGTGTCCGCCGAGGCCAGGATGTCAGATCCCTTGGAGCTGGAGTCCCACATGGTTTTGAGCCTCCCGATATGGGTGCTGGGAACTAAACGGGTCCTGGTGAGAACATCAAGTTCTCCTAACTGCTGAGGCATCTCTTTAGCACAGGTGGTTTGTTCTTAAGCCAGTTGTGATTGAGGTGGAAGGGACTCCACCATCAGAAGCTTAAAAGCCTAAAAGGGCCCCTCCCCCTCCCATAAACAGGTTTAGCGAGAGCCTCTCCTTCGTGTGGGGAGCTGGTCCCAGAGCATCTCTGAGACCCTGCTGAGGAGCTGTGGCAAGGCCCATCTTTTAGCTCACACTCTCAGGGTCCTCCCAGAAGGGATGGACAGAACACCTCCTCCAGCCTCCAGATGTGGCTCTGGGGGTCACGTCTGCGTTACACTGTCGGTACCTGAGGAGCTGTCGTGTCTCCTGGTCTTCCCGACAGAGTCCCCAGGGGCGCACACTCAGGACTGGGCTCACCATCCTGTATGGTCTGGTACCAGAGAGGGCCAGCATGTTTGGGCCCAGAACCCTAGGCTAAGCTAGATCCCGTGAGTGGGAACATTTTAGGGTAACATTTCCTCCTAGCGACGCAGGCTCTTTCTAAACGTTAGCCAGTGGCACTCCCATTCTCTCTCGGGAGAAAACTCAAGCCCCCATGTGTAGGGCAGGATGCCCGTACCGCCCAGAGGACTGAGCAGGCAGGACAAGTGTAGAACGAGGCAGCCACCCTGTCCACGCCTTCTGCGTTTTTGGGTTTTTCCTTCCTCTCTATTTTTTCACCCGCCGTCCTGAAACAGCCCCTGTTTACCCATCCTCTCCGCTTCCGGTGTGGATGTAGGGATGGGGACACAGCCCAAATGACTTGAAATGCCCTGCATTTCTCACGTCCTGTGAGCAGGGAGGGAAAGGACCAATCTCTGAGCTCTGCTGTCTTAGTTACATTTCTATTACTGTGAAAAGACACCATGGCCAAGGCCTCTTATAAAAGAGAGTATTTATTTGGGGCTGACAGTTTCAGCGGGCTGGAGTCTGTGACCATCGCGGGGCGCATGGCAGCAGGCAGGCAGGCATGGTGCTGGGGCAGTAGCTGAGAGCTCACATCTTGAGAGACATCCACAAGGCAGAGAGAGAGATAGACAGACAGACAGACTGGACTGGGCGTGTCACAAATCTTTTTAAACATCAAAGCCGACCCTTAGTGACACACCTCTTCCACCAAGGCCACACCTCCTAATCCTTCCCAAACAGTTCCACCAACTGGGGACCAAGCGTTCAAACATAGGCGCCTATGGGGGCCGTTCTCATTCAGACCACTACATAGGCCTTTTGCTGTGGAGATTAAAAAGTGGGCACTCTGTACTGTAAATAAACATTTTTGGGGAAAGGCGGAAAGGCCTTTGGAAGAGACACGAGGTCCTGGGCTTGAAAGAGGCCTCTGGGATTCCAAATGTCTTGGTTTGAATTTCAGGAGCCAGATGAGACGGCCCTCCATCTTGCAGTCAGATCTGTGGACCGGACTTCCCTTCACATTGTGGACTTCCTGGTCCAGAACAGGTGGGTGTCTCACTAAGTGGATCCCTTTTTTCCCATTCTTGGGGCTTCCCAACAAGGGACCAGACGCTGTCTCCACTGCTTGCGCTCGGTTGCCAAGATGCTCGTGTCTCGGGTTTAAATATGAATTATGGGAATTCCCTAGAAAAGCCCAGAGTGTGAGAACAGAAGGCCTTCATGGTACCTGCAAGATCCAGTATATAGAGTCTGAGAGAGACTCCAGGGAACCATGGCTGCTCAGTTCCCAGCCTTGGGGAAGAACCTGGGAGGCCTGGGTCCTCACCTGTGCCATGAGCATTTCCCTGGTTTGTTGTGCGCACAGGTCTTTCCCATATCAGTCCCCACACAGCATCTCAACAGCAGAGAGCTATGGGTCAGTGAGGGTGCACTAGCCCCTGGTATTAATGGTGTGTGTGCTACCCAGTACTGGGATTAAAGGCGTGTACCACCACTGTCTGGCTCTGTTTCTCTCCTAGACTGAGTCAGTCTCATGTAGTCCAGGGTGGCTTTGAACTCACAGAGATCCAGACGGATCTCTGCCTTCTGAGTGCTAGGATTAAAGGTGTGTGTGCCACCACTGCCTGGCCTCTATGTTTAATCTAGTGGCTGGCTCTGTCCTCTGATCCTCAGGCAAGCTCTAGTTCTTAAATTACACATATCACCACAGACAGCAGTAGATTTAGAGGGTCCGGGTGAGCTCAGTGGTAAGTGCTGGCTTCACATACATGAACCCCAAGTTCCCTCCTCAGCACTGAGCAAAGAAAGCAAAGGAGATCCTGAGGCGTTCCTGCACTGAGGCAGCTGTTTTCCTTCTGTTGGGAGTCGCAGGTTCCCACCCCAGGGCGCCTCTGTCCCCATTTGTGTGCCCGTGGATGGTGACCCTTCAGATGGCAATTGCTTTCATCGTGTATGTAAAACACATGTACCTTTGGTTTGGATTAACCTGGTCTTGTTTTATGAGAGAGGAATATGTGAAAATCTTCAAAGTGTCCCCCCTCACCTGCTTTTGGGCGGGGGGGCTGTCCTAGGGCCAGGTTTGGGACCCTAAACTGAACAGTAGTATCCCTCCCCTGTTGGAAACATCAAGAAACAACGTGGAGGGAGCTGGAGAGACGGCTCAGCGGTGAAGAGCACTGGGTGCTCTTCCAGAGGACCCGGGTTCGGTTCTCAGCACCTGCGTGGTGGCTCTTAACCATCTGTACCTCCAGTCCCAGGGCATACAGTGCCCCGTTCCGGTTTCCATTGGTACCAGGCAGGCACAGGGTGCCCAGACACAGATGCAGGCAAAACACCCATACATACACCATAAAATTATTTCTTTGCAAAAGAAAGAAAAGGAACAAAATGAAAAGTTCTCCTCTTCCCTGGTGTGACAGGCAGGTCAGGTCGTGTAGACTAAACAGTGAACCTAATGCTCCGGGTACCACAGGCCAAGAGGAAAGGGGCCGGGTGCCAGGGTGGCTTCAGGGTGTGCTGTCCTTTAACCCGGTGGTTCTCAGCCTTCCTAACGCCGCGACCCTTTAGTACAGTTCCACAGGTTGCGGTGACCCCCGACCACACCATTATTTTCATTGCTACTTCATAACTGCAATTCTGCTACCGTTATGAATGTGGGTATCTGTTATGCGACCCCGCTTGAAAGGGTCAGTCGGCCACCGAGGGGCCGCGACCCCCAGGTTGAGAACCACTGCTCTCACCCTAAGCCAGCCAGCCCATCCGGGGCTGGTCGTCTCTGTCTTGGTTGCATCTCTCGGAGATGGGGGTGAGCTGGATAAACTGTGGGCTGCTAATTCGCCTGTCCTCCCAGAGTCTGGGGGCCGCAGTCCTCTGGTCGGTGACTGTTGTCTTCATCCCTCTCTGTCCGTGTTTCGAGCAGCGGGAACCTGGATAAACAGACGGGCAAGGGCAGCACAGCCCTGCATTACTGCTGCCTGACGGACAACGCCGAGTGCCTCAAGCTCCTCCTGCGAGGGAAGGCCTCCATCGAGATAGGTAAGAGGCTGCCTGCCGGGGTGTGCCGGAATGCACCGGGGTGCGCCGGGGTGCAGGTGGCTCTGCTGCCCCCCTCCCCAACCCCCGGCCTCCTTCCTGCAGCTCTGCGCTGCTGGTGTTAGAAGCGGTTGTCACACTGGAAAGAGTGCCCCTCCCTACCTGTCCCGCAGAGTGGCGTGGCGCCATCAGCGGGCTCCGCCTGCCGTCTGTCTGTCTGTCTGTCTGTCTTAGCCTCCAGCTTAGCCTCCAGCCTTCAGGAGTGCTGAGGGTAGGCCTTGCAGGAGCCCTGAGCTGGGTGAACCCTGGCTCACCTCCCCAGGTGGGACGAAGCCTTTTGACAGAGGCGGGGCTGTCACTGTCTCCTCCCCCCTCTGTCATGGTGACAGATCCCGGTACCCCCACCCGCCCCTTGTCTCCCCTCGATTGTGACTGCCAAAGCACGGTTTACCCTGAGCCGTCCAGCTGTGGTTGGTTCCTGGGCAAGTGCTTTGGAGAACTACTGAGCCAAACCAAAAGTCGATGAGAAGATACGTTCTGCTGGGAAGCCAGGCGTGGTGGCTCATACACTTGAGAGGCGGAGGCAGGGGGATGACTGCATGTTTGAAGCCAGCTTAGTCTCTACAGTGAGTTCCAGCAAGTCAGAGCTATTTAGAGATACCCCGTCTGGATTTAAAGAGGAGGAGGAGAAAAAAGTCAAAAAACAAGTAAACCTTGTTGACAGAGACTTCAGAGAAGAAAGGGCCAGCTCAGATGTCTGACCTGCTGAGCTCACCGCCTTCCAGTGTCACGGGGTGTGTGTGCATCTGTGTTCATGTGTGTGTATGCATGCGTGCGTGTGTGCGCGCGTGCATGCGTGCGTGCGTGCGTGCGTGGCTCACTGCATGCTCTTGCTCTCTGGATAGCTTGTACTTGGGGGTCATGGTTTTAGTTAGTTGGCTGCATCAACAGCTCTTGGTAGCTCAGTCCTTCTTACTAAAACATAGCTTCTCTACACTCTTGTATCCGGTGCAAGTAAATGCCAGCCAGCCCGCCCTGCCCCGGTTAACCCGACTGCATCCCGTGACTCCTGCTTACTTTAGTGAGGTGCTCTTCATTACTGCATGAGATGCTTAGTCTTTATGATCAGCTTGGTAGGACTCAGTCACCATGGAAACCAACCTCTGGGCATGTCTCCAAGGGTGCTTCTAGTGGGAAGATCCCTCTAACTGTGGATGGCAGCGTCCCATGGGCTGTGGCCCTGGACCTGCTAAAAAGGAGACATATTCCTCTCTCTGTGTTTCCCAACTGTGGAGGCAGTGTGACCAGCTGCCTGCCTCCCTCTCCTGCTGCCCTGACTTCCCCACCATGAGGGACTACCCCCAAAGTGGGGGGCCATAATAAACCCTCCTTTCTTCTGAGTCGTTTCTGTCCTAACAGTGCATGAAGTAATTAATATGCAGAGTCTTTAGTGCGCTGTCCATAGAGAACAGATACCTGAGAAATCAGTCGGGGGAGGGAACATGGATTTTGACTCCGGGCATCAGTCTGAGGCCAGCTGGGCTCCATTGCTTTGGCCTTGAGGTGAGGGGGAAGCGTTGACTGAGAGGCTGCTCACCTCGTGGCGGTCAGGAAGCGGAGGGGAGAGGGACCCCCTCACACGTGTGTCCCCACTGACCTTCCTCCAGCGAGGCCCCGCCTCCTTATAGCCGTTCATCCATGGATGCAATTAGCCCCTGTCTCGATCCCCTCTGACCCCAGAATAAGACCAGATACCCTGAGTCGGAGAGAAGAGAAGGTGGGGAGTAGATGCAGGAGAGGACTCTGAACAGGGCACCCATAGCACAGGCACTAAGACGGCAATTAATAAGTGGGTCCTCGGGAAGCTGGAAAGGACACCATGATTTGAGCAAAGAGGCCAGCTGCAGAATGGGAAGATCTTTAACCATTGTGCATCTCACAGAGGGCTAGTCTCTAGAACTACAAAGACACCGTCAAGAAAACAACCTAATTAAAAATGAGGTACAAGCTGGGCCTTTAATCCTACCCTCAGGAGTCAGAGGCAGGTGGGTCTCTGTGAGTTCAAGACCAGCCTGTCCTACGTAGGAAGTACTAAGAAAGTCAGGGCTACATGGAGAGACCCTGTCTCAAAAGGAAAAAAAGGAGGAGGGGTGTGTGTGTGTGTGTGTGTGTGTGTGTGTGTGCGCGCGCGCTACAGAGTTAAGCAGAGTTCTCAGAAGATGAAACACAAAAGGCCGAGAAACACTGAAAGATCAGTTCAGGATCCAGTCACCTCAGGAGCAGCCCCAGCTGGGGACCAAGCCTTCGACGTCCTGTCCGAGTCTTTGGGGATGTTTTATATGCAGAACCTCAGGCCAAGCTCTGCTGTCTCCTTACCCTCCTTCCCTTGACTTTCAGCCAATGAGTCAGGAGAGACGCCGCTGGACATCGCCAAGAGACTCAAGCATGAGCACTGTGAGGAACTGGTGAGCACCACTGTGGGCAGACGGCCTGATGGAGACGGGGTGGGGTGGGGTGCAGGAGAGCCCGTCTCCCTGGACGAGGGCACAGCACACACGGCAGTACACACCTCCTGGGGTAAGCCAAGCCCAGGCTGGCCTGGAGGAGCACTGGAGAACCTTCCCGGGGGTGAACCTTGTGACTCAGCATATGCTTATGGGCCACGACTGTAGGCCTGGCTCCTCAGGCAGCTGGAGGAAAGGATGGACCCCCACATTACGGGGTACCCGTGAATGCCTAGCTCTCTTCACAGCGTGTCCAGCTGGCTTTCCCACTTTTATCCTTCAACCCAGAGCATGCGGGTCACTCTGTGCCGTGTTTCTCTTCTGTGATGGGGTGAGGGAGACCAGCTCCCTCTCCCAACCCAGGGTACTTTTGAGTAGGGAGAAATGAGGAATATGTATATAGAAATATAGAGGGAGAGAGAAAGAAACACAGGGTAGCCTCGGGAGGGCCTGGGTCAAAACCCACCAGCCCCTTCTGTCTCTGCTAAAGGGCTTTTAAAGGAATGCCAAGGGGTGGAGCAAAAGACCTCCCCCCCTGCCCCCAGCACAGCCAAGTGCAGACCATCCCAGGCACCCGGTGACCATGCACGTGGTCCAGCCATCCCCTAATGCAGCCCTGCTGTGGGAAGCAAGCTCAGATCTCACTGGGAAGCCTTTGTGGGCTCCCACAGTGGAGTAGAGGGGCTGTGAGCCTTGGAGGGAGCTGCAGAGTCAGGAGTCCTGCCTGGGTTTGCAGTGGGCCGTGCCTCATTCCGGGCTCTCTCGGCATTTGTGGAGTTGCGGGAGGTAGTTGTGCCCTTTGCAAGGTTATCATCCGAGTTGTTGAATCTTGTTAAAGCAGGCACACAGTTAGTTCCCGACCCGCGGACCTCCTAATGCCACACAAGTAGAGAGTAAGCAGAAGGTGCCTGTGTAGACGCTACCCATCAGGTTATTTAATCTCCGTCCCCCGTTGTGTGGGTGAGGGAGCAGACACAGGAGAGTCAAGTGACTTTTCCAAAGTCACACAGCAGCTTTCTGGCTCTGGGCAGCAACTAAGCCCCGCACATCAGCTGCACATAGTACACTGCCGTACCTCCCGTCCGGCTGGAGTAGAATTAGCCAGGCACTTTCTGTGAGGGAGCTGGAGAAAGGGGCCTCCTTTCCCACAGGGCTCAGTTCTCTTGCTGTGAGAAGGCTGGCTGGCCGCGAACACATTCCTTCTGAGGTCCAGCTGACGCCTACGCTGTGCTCATAGCTGAAAGATGGTCATCGCCTTTTAGGTCCCCACGTCCCTTGCCTGTGCGGCACAGTTTCCAGAGAGTCCCTGACGGGGAGCCTTGAGGGGCTGGGTTATCCTGCGAATCGGGTACGGGGACCTCCACGGAGATCCAGAGATTTGAATAAGCAATCCCGGAGCAGAGTGGAAACTTTCCTGAGAGCCGTTCCGGACCCTCCGCCCTGGCCTGTCCGTGCTTGGTGTGGACACCCACGAGCGCCTGTCCTTTGTGCTTGAACATGGGGGGCAGGCAGCAGCATTAACTGTCCCTCCTCCCTTCCCAGCTGACTCAGGCCTTGTCGGGAAGGTTTAACTCCCACGTTCACGTGGAGTATGAATGGCGACTGTTGCACGAAGACCTGGATGAAAGCGACGACGACGTGGACGAGAAGCTTCAGGTCCGTGCCTCCCTGCCTCGGCGGGGTGGTTCCGTGGCCCTGGTGGTGTTCATTGATCTGGGCGGGCTCCAGGCTCCCCTTCCCATGGCTCCCCCTGCCTCCCAGCTCCAGCCTGCGCTGATGGAGAAACGGAACAGGCAGTTCTACGATTGTAGGTGTCTTGTGGGGGAGGGCGCCCCGCCTGCTGTGGAGCCACTGTACAGAGTCAGGTCCTGTCGGCAGGGGACACTCTGTGGCTCCTCTTGGAGTGACCTTAGAAACCACCACGTGGGAACTACTCAGTTGCCCTTTAGAGCTCACCGGATCTAACTTCCTTTATTGGATGGAGACTTCAAAGCCTCTGGGGAGGTTGGTTCAGCCAAGAGGACATAGATGTTTTCACACAGCCTTGGAATGAGCATAGGGCTCTAGTCCTGGTCCAGTTCCCTGTCATGTGCACCACCAAGCATACCTTGCCGGTACCTCAGGACCATGCTGCCTTCGCACGGGTCTGTGGGTGCAGAGCAAGTTCAGGCAGCCTCCCTCCAAACCCTCAGCCCTTGGCGGTGACCCTTCCCAGCTCCCACCACAGCAGACTGCCAGCTGTGCCAGCACGCTCTGTATTAGAATGAGAGGAAAGACCTGGTCAAGCACATTGTCACGGCTTAGTGTTTTATTTTTTCCCCTATAGGACTTTAGTATTCTCTAATATGAACTAATATTCTAATATAAACTATAAACAGATGATTAATAGATACAAATGGGAGAAAACATTTCTGAAGGCTATTGGACCATCAGTGATGGAAAGGCATTTAATATCTGTACTTAGCATTCCCTACCCAGCACAGATATGTAAATGAAAGGATATGGTTGCATCTCAATAAATCTTTATTTACAAAAGCAATAAGGTGCTTCTGCCAGTCCTGAGGACCTGAATTTGATCCCATGGGCTCATATGGTAGAAGGAGAAAACTGAGGCCCACAGTGTCCTGTCTTCTGCACATGTACCTGTACACATACACAAAGAACACATG